TAGATGTAAGTGAACAATAGCCTTTAAAATTACTTAAAATACATATATAATAGCAATGAGGCAATAATAATTAGTTCAAATAAAGTATCAAAAGCAAGAAATCATATAATTTTATTGAACAAAACTGTTAAAATACATAATGTATTATAAACAATTTATATACATATCTTTTTCTATCAGAACAGTGTTAATATTATTGTTGTATGTTTATTATTAATTGATTATTTCTAATTGATGATTTAGTTTTTATTTATGTTATACATTTCAATATAGCTTTAATTTAATTTTTTTCTAAACAGTCTTTTTCAGGTTAGCTTATTTTTTTCCATTAGTTTTCAATCTATCATTCTTATATTTAGTTTAGTTTTCTCAAGTTTTTTTTCTTTAGAGTTTCCTTTGAGTTAGATTTTCTGCAGTTTTCTCGTTTCAGTGCGTTAAGCTTTTATTAATTAAAAAAAAAAAGATTCAGCTTATTGTGGTTAAAAAACTATTTTAATTACTAAAGTTATTTTATTGTCTCTAGGGCTGCCACTAATGACTATTTTTATTTCGATTAATCTATCGACTAATTTATTGATTAATCGATTAATCTAAACGATTAATTTCCCACAAAAAAAATCTACAATTTTACTTAAGAATATTTCATTAAACTATTTTATTAAATCAAATGAAATCCAAATTTCTATGAAATCCTTTTTTTAAAGCAAAAGTAAAGTGCAACATAGAGTGCAAGAAGCAAGTGTCCATCTCATAGTCCAAATCACTGAAATCAAAGTTCAGTATTATAGTGTAAGAATGACAACATGTCCACGTGTTCTAGTCTACTACTAATAAAATTATAATCAAAAAACTCTTTTTAAAGGAGTATTTACCAGAAATGTTATTTACCATAATTTATTTAGGAGAAAAATGTAAATGTGCAGTATTTCTGGGAAGAAGAAAAAACTTACAAAAAAATAAAATCAATTAATTGGAGATGCTTTTGATTATTAAAATTTAATGGAACCATTAAAATGGAATCCAAAAAATAATGGAAAACAGAATGTGGTAAAGATAAAACTTTAAAACTCAATTAATTAGACAGGCTTTTTGATTAATACAATTTTATTTAACCATTAAAACGGAGTATAGAAAAATGAAAATGTAAAAAACGAAATTTTTTTCATAAGGCCCTATAATTATAATAAATTTTTTTGTGGTAATAAAAATAGATGTAAGTGAACAATAGCCTTTAAAATGACTTAAAATACATATATAATAGCAATGAGACAATAATAATTAGTTCAAATAAAGTATCAAAAGCAATCATATGGTTTTATTGAACAAAACTGTTAAAATACATAGTGTATTATAAACAATAGAGCTAATGTACATCACGCATTACAACAAAGGCCTGCAGAGGGCGCCAATGGCCTGATGATTATTTTTACACATTGCTGCCCGATCTAATACTTGTTTAACCTACACGCATGTAAATAATTTAAGTGCATATACTGTATTAGAACTGCATTTTTGATGTGAGTGTTGGTTTGAATTTAGTCCAATGTGGCCGTTTTGTCATGGCTAAATCATATTTTCTCTGTCTTTCTCTCGCAGATCGGGACTTTAGCATCCAGGTGACCACCGAGCGCCGGGCCTTCACGGCTGGTGAGCCGCTGGAGCTCCGCTGCACCATTGACGCTCAGAATGTTCCAGAGCGCTTCTTCTCGGTGTCGTGGGTCTTCAGCAGCTCACCCGTAGCCGTGATTGGGCCCAGCGCCGTGCCCGTACTGGGACCCAACTATGCGGAGCGGGAGGCCACCGGCCTCCTGACCGTACGCAAAGAGAGCCCGTCCATCCACCTGCTCAAGTTGCAGCACCTACTGCCGGAGGACTCTGGGAAATACATCTGCAGAGTGACAGAACGGGAGAAGACCCTCACTGGAGATTTCATCGACCGCAGCAAACGGTCCCGTAATGTTCAGATCACTGTAACCTCTCTCAGTGAGTATCATGGTTCTTTATTGGCCCTCTGTTTCTGACTGGCCCCTAGAGTAGTTAGCTGATACCTCTCAACTGCTTTTTTATTAAATGAAAAGATGAAACTTTCGGCCTCAATTTTGATGTTTGTCACCTTAAGTGGATTATTCTGATGTAGTTTAGCTTATAAGCGAACAGTTAAAAAAAAAAGTAGAGTTAAGAAATTGGTTTAGTAATACTGTGGAGGCAAACAGCTATTAAAGATCTTCTGCTGAAGGTTTCTACAATATATGCTCAGTATCACCCCATATTTTCTCTCATAGTGCAGACTCCCACTGTTAGAAGTAATGAGTAAACAGGAGGAAAAAAATAAAAGTAGTGTGAAAGCATTTCAGCTGTTTTCAAGATAGTAAAACTTTAGCATTGATGAATAGCAGTGTAGTGTGATAGAACACTGCATCAGTTTTTGTCACATTGAGTGTGATTACATGAACAACAAAATCCTGACAAGTATCAAAAATCAGCTCATTATAATGCCTGACAGGACATGAAAAAACTTGTTGGCATGGGATTGGGTGGATAGTTTTTTCTTTTTTTTGAGTTGGATAAACTGACTCAACGCTCATATAGATATCTATATGGCTAGTAAAATTGAGGTATTGATTCAAAATCTATGTTGCTTAAACCATTTATGACCTTTATGCGAGTAAAGCCGGGCTCACACTGTGCAATTTTTTTAAAAAGTCCTTTAGGATTGTACTTGTCAGACTACTAACATGATGATCATGTGACACTGTGGGATCTCAGTTGTCATTAATGTTAATAATGCATTAAAAACAGGTGCGCGAAAGAAAACTTGTCCGGAGTTTTACCTTATCAACCCATACACGTTTAGTGACTTCGAGCTGCATTGCATGCAGGGCTGTAATGTTGGCTATCATTAAAAGTATATGAATGGTGGCAATAACGGTGTATTTAAGAAGAATAGTTTAAGCAGCACTACACACCCACATGAAAACAGCAGCGCAACCGTTGTATATCATAGCAAAGGCAACGTATCATATGAATTCCGTGAGCGGAGGACGAGAGCGCTGGAGTTTATGCGGTTAGAAGAAATCTCTAGCATTAATTATGATCATGGCTTGTCTTGAAAAACAAAAACAGTTTGATGTTTGTCGTAGGAGAAGTCACACTGTAGGACTGTGCGCCAAATCTTCTGACACTGCCAGAAGTTTGTCAGAGGTCAAATTTGATCGCAACGGCCATTAATCGGCTGTTGTAGAACATGTCAAACTAACGATCAAAGACTACAGATTTTAGCCTAGTATTATAGGAATCTTTTAGGATTTTCAAAATTGGTCTCAGACAACCAAATTCGTGGCCAAAATCGCACAGTGTGAGCCGGGCTTAAGGGACATTAAGGCTGCAATATAACAAAGAGTGAAAAATTTAAGGGGGTCTGAATACTTTCCGTACCCACTGTATATATATATATATATCTACATACATACAAGTTTGGTGTCAGTCCCATTTTATTTAAAAGAAATTAATACTTTTATTCAGCAAGGATGCATTCAATTGATCAGAAGTGACAGTACAGACAAAATATGTATATTTCAAGCAAATGTAGTTCTTTTGAACTCTCTATTTATAAAGGAATACTGAAAAAAGCGTTACAGTTTCCACAAAAATAGTAAGCAGCACAACTGTTTTCAACAATAATAATTTGAACACAAAATTATCATATTAAAATAATTTCAGAGAGATCATATGACACTGAAGATTGTTGTAATGACTGCTGAAAATTCAACTTTGCCATCACAGGAATAAATTACATTTTAAAATAAATTTATTTTAAATTGTAATATTTCACAATATTACCAGTTTGGGGTAACACTTTACAATAAGGTTCCATTAGTTAATGTTAGTTAATGTATTATAACATGAACAATACATTTATTACAGTATGCCTAGTTATTAATCTTTGTTAATGTTAGTTAATGAAAATACAGTTGTTCATTGTTAGTTCATGTTCATTCACAGTGTATTAACTAATGTTAACAAGCACAACTTTTGATTTTAATAATGCATTAGTAAATGTTGAAATTAACATGAACTAAGATTAATAAATGCTGTAGAAGTATTGTTCATGCTTAGTTCATGTTAACTAATGTAGTTAACTAATGAACCTTATTGTAAAGTGTCACCACTGATTTTACTGTACTTTTAATCATATAAATGCAGAATTGGTAAGCATGAGAGACTTCTTTTAAAAATATTTTTAAAAAATCTTGCTGACCCCAAAATTTTGAACAGTATTGTAAATGCTTCTTGGATTGTTAAAAACGTAATAATCATACTATTTATTTAATAAGGTGCTCCCCTATTAAATACATTTGGAATAGTTGTTTGTGTTTTGTTAGTAGCTTGGATTGTACTTAACTACATTTTTATGGGAGGCCTGACTGTAGTTTAAATAGTAGTTTCAGAGTAGGTGCCCTGACAGTGGTTGTGTGCTTGTGAGTGGGCAATACAGTGCTGTGTCCTGTGTAAAATCATTTAATGCACAGCATTTTTTCACAACTTGGTTTTGTGGAGGCCTGAAAAGCCCTTGAAATAGCATTGCATTTCAAGTGAGAGCAACTCGAAAAACCAAGTCTAACAGGCATGAAATGAAAGTGGGAATGCCATCGCCTTCAGTGTAGCCATGGTAGATCCCCAAGGTGGATGCAGTTGTGCCCAGGCTAAGAAACCACAATTGAGCTCAAGGAGTTGATGAAAGCTAGATGGGGGAGAGGAGGTTAATCAAAGGTTAGTAAGAATATATCTGTTCTGTTTAGACTTTGACCAACCAAATCCAACCTTTCCAAAAATGGTCCTTTCACACTCTATAAGTGGAAGATCTTTCTTTCTCCTCAGGGGAATCAGCTTTTAGCGGGTCTGGAAGGACGGCCAGCAAGTAAAGATGCATTACATCAACATGCCATGTTTTTGTAGTCTTACAATTGTTTACGTGGTTTAGCTACTGTAACGAATCGAAGGGTTAAAAGCTTAACGCAGTAAAAAGAAGAGAAATAAGAATATGAAGTTATAGAACCATTTGCATATTCAGCAGATCTGCCCGAGGGAAGCATCAGATTCTTAGCTCAAACACACCTTTGTAAAAAGATGCACTGTTAATTAATTAGCAAAGAAAAGTCCTTCCCTTGTGGATTTTCCCTATGGGCAAGGAAGCGATTTTCTTCACCTAAATTCCAGGAGGTCATAAATGTATCGGGTGTCAGGGTTACCATGGAACTAGGGGCCTGTTCGGCTTCCTGGGGTGTTACAGAGTATTTGTTAAATCTAGCTAACAAAATATATATTGTGTGTTTGAGTGGTCCAGACGCTACACTACATCAGCATGTTATATATTTCTATAAAGCCCACCCTCAAAAAAACAGTTGCGTAAGTGATTTCACTATGTGAAGGAGATGCCTTTTTTCCCACTACATGGGCAAAAATAATAATAAAATCATATGAACTTCCAAACCCGAAGCCATAGTTACCATAGATTCATAGATTTAATCCTTTTTACTGCTGCACATGAAGCCTCTGGAGCTGAAACCTGATTATGGTAAGGGACATTTCATTTCTGACACACGCACAGAATGGCTGACCAATCACAACAGACCAGGTGACCAATCAGAGCAGACTGGGGGTTTCGGAAAGGCAGGCTTTAAAGACACAGGAACTTAAACGGATACTTCATGCAGAGGGTGAAAAGAGGTGCAGCAGCAATGTACAAGTATGAGAATTTTTTTTTTTACTTAAAATCATGTAAATGTTTTCTAGCAGATCCCAAAAATAAAATTATGAACTTGTAGATGAAAATTATAAGTGCACTTTAACATATATCAAGTAGCCGTTATTACACCTCTTGTGCCAGTTTCTCTCTTAAAGTTATAATTCACCCAAAAGTGTAAATTTTGTCATCATTTATTTACCTTAACATCATTCCAAACCCGTATGACTTTCTTTCTTCTGTGTAACTTAAAATAAAATATTTTGAAAAATGTCGCAGGATGTTTTGTGTGTGTGTGTGTGTGTGTGTGCATAAAATGAAAGTCAATGAGGTCTGACGTGGTTGTTTTGGACCCCCTTACTTTCATTGTATAGGCAAAAATAGTTAAAACATTCTGCAAAATATCTTCTTTTGTGTTACGTGCATGGAGTAAAGAAAGTCATGCAGGCTTGGAACGATGTGAAAGTGAGTGTGTTTGGGTGAACTATCCTTTTAAGATGGCTAGAAAAAGGGAAAAGACAGAACGGCACTTTATTACACCATGCTTTGGTCTTTTTTTGTCTTTGCCCCCACAGGAAACCCTGTGCAATATTTGCAGGGTTATTAGAGCAGTAGATCGATAGCTGCAGTTTGGATTCGAGACAGCGCAGAGTTCAGCCCCTTCTTCATCCACAAGCTTGCTCTCTGTCTTCTGCTCAAGGCCTCACTGAGGTCTTTCAGGCAATATATACAACCGAATCATCTGCATATAGAGAGACTGGATTGGGTGAAGATACATCCATACCCCAACTGATCATTGTGTAAACTTTTATTTCATCTCCTCAGAGAAAAGGAGCACATTAGAAATTGAAGAGGTTTCATCCCCAGATGTTTCGCTTTTATCATGTGTGAAATCAAAGCCTCTTGTGTTTGTTGCCTGGTTGGTCATGGTGGTTTTCTTCTCAAGAAGTTCTGCTAGAGCCTCTTTCTGAAGGGAACCTTGGATGACCCATGGGAACGGCACAAACTTTGTCTCTTTAAAGTCACATTTTTGTTTTATCACATGCTGCTTTTATAGGGACGTGGTGGTGTGAAATCCCTGTAGAGAACTCTGGAGATGTGAAGGCTTTGATCTACACTCATGCTTACAAGATCTCTCAGGCTCTAGACCTCTTGATGAGAAAACTATTCCCAAAGCCCTGCTAGTCTGAGGCCTAGTCTTCTGGAGAGTGCAATGGAAAGATACGGAAGAAAAGATACCATACACATATTGATTTTAGTGATAATGTACAAACCTTTTAGACCTACCATGAGCTAAAATGTTGTCAAATGATTCTTTGTTCTGTTAAAGCAACTTTCAACTTCAATTAAAAAGAATCACAGGAATAAAATACATTTTAAATATATTGAAGTGGGAAAAGGAATAACATAAAAAAAAATTACTTAAAATTGTACTATATTTTTGATCAAGTACTGTAAATGCAGCCTTGCTGAGCATAAGCAAGTTCTTTCAATAACATTTTAAAAATCTTATAGACTTTTGAAAGTTAGCTTATTTATATTGTACTTTGGTTTTATTGTACGTTTTATAAAAAAAAATTGTATTTACATTTTGTAGCTTTGTATTAAATGTGGTAACATTGTGATTCATATGGGTGCTTGGTTCATGTGTTAAAACTCTTTAATGAAGAATGTTTTTAAATTCTTGTGGAGAAAAATGAAAAATACTTCTGAAATCATGTATTGTAAAGGCCACTTACAAAAGTGGGCAGTCACTGGTCTTATAGATTGCTAACTAAGATCCACCAAACACTGTCCAGTACAGGCAGCTCCTTCAATATTCAAGGAGCCTGGTAGAAACCTGGAACTCTGTGTTCTTGCCTCAGGCATTATCAGCATCCATATCCAGTGGCTTTTGCACTCACAACCAGAGACAATATAATAGAAGAAAACAGACCATTCATAGAGAAATGAATGGAAGAGATTGAAATGCTAAAATTGGTTGCTGTAGGTATGGAAGCCTGACCTTTAAGTTAAAAAAGAGCCTGTTGCCCTATTGGTAAAGGCAGTACCTCAATATATTGCTCCAGAATGTGCATTAGCTTGGCCTGCCAGCTAAAGAAACTAAGTTGATGATACAATTGCATAGCTAATTTGATGTATGTTACTGAATGATAAGTTGTTTTCTTCATTCAGGTAGATAGGGATTGTTCTTATACACCTAATGTGTACAGAGAAAATAGTGTTTTTGTTTACTTGCCATTAAGGGACTGTATTACAAAGTCAGTTTTCACCCAATGAGAATTTGTGGAGTTGTTTTTTTATACAGCTTGTCATGAGTAATTTACTCATACATAATGTAAATGTACTCTAATTCAGTGTTTCCCAACCTTTTTTTAGTCGTGGCACCCTTTGGAAATTTTAACAAACTTGTGGCACCCTACAAAATTAATTTTGTCACAATATTTGAATTTCTAACTTCGATATGATAATTTGAAAAGTGTAGATATTCGGTACAACAGTGAAGAACTGCAGAATATAATGTCATACAGATATTTTTAATATTATTAAAAAAATGTGTCCATCAATGGTGGCAATCAGTAGGCTAATTTCTAATGAAGAGACCAATTTATATGACAGATTTTAATGTAGGCTTTTATACATATGTAAACATTATTTAATTACCATTATAACTAGCTATCTCACAAATTTTTGCTCACTCAGTGTTTTTTTTATTTTACAGTGGGGTAATTTTGGTGCAGTAGCACGAGATAGCTTGATTTCAAACTTTGAATTGAATAAAAAATGACAAGTAAGCAGTCAATAATAAAATAAGAAATAAAGAAATTAATAATGATAGCAACAGGCCTTCGAATTAAATAAACTGCTTTTTAGTTTTTCAGGTAGATCTAACAGCAGGGTTAAGATATTTAATATTTTTTATTTTTACCAATTATCCAAATGTTTAGTCCTAGAAAGCTATTATTATCAGAACACGTGAGCATAACATAGCGGTTAGCAGATCAATGAATGAGAGGGCAGCGTTACCAGAGTTGCCCATATATACCACACCATGTTACAGCACAGTAGGGCTATTGCAGACAGAAACAATACTGTACTACATCGATGTTTCCTGTCGGCTCAATTTTTGAGTGGACTTTGCTGTTCTGATGAGCATGAACGGTATACGAGTGGAGCGACTGAGCAGAGTGCACACGCATAGAGCGGGATAATATGCAGAGCGTCACATCACGTGAAAGTGAAACCTGAGCGGTGAACTAACTTTCGGCAGCCGAAATTTCAGTGCATCTCTAATTATTGGCAACATCAGACATGGATATTATATAATAGCTGCTTTTTTAGTAATTTAAAAATATTAAAAAATGATTTTTTTACACGGCACCCCGGTTGGGAAACACTGCTCTAATTAATATGATAAACTTGCACTAGTGTCATGTTTCCAAAGACTGATGTCTCATTTCCTCTGTTGTTTGTCTGTCTCTCATAGGAAGTAACATCACTGTGTCATTATCCAGTAACACTTCAGAGATTATGGAGGGGGAGACCATCCAGTTGACCTGTGTTGTTAGCAACACTGTGGGTCCCCTGTCAGTGACGTGGCAGTGGACAGATAAGGAGGGGGCGGGTCCTGCTGTGAACGTGGCTTCAGTGGATCGTGAGGGAACGGTCACTTCTGGGCACACCTTTAGCGAGCGCAGTAGCTTTGGAGAGGTCCGGGTGGAGCGGGTTCGACCCGACACATTCACCCTGTTCCTGTATAATGCCTTCCCCACAGATGAGGGCCAGTACAGATGCAACGCCACCGAGTGGTCCCAGAGCGGTACTGCACCTGACTGGATTTGGCAGCAAATTGGAGACGAATCCGCCAGCAAGACTGTCACGGTAAAATCAGTTGGTAAGTAAGACCACATACATTATTTGGACCCTTATTTATTTATATAAACCTCAAATCTCTTATTTGAGGTTTGGAATAGACAGACAGACAGACAGACAGATAGATAGATAGATAGATAGATAGATAGATAGATAGATAGATAGATAGATAGATAGATAGACAGATAGACAGACAGACAGACAGACAGACAGACAGACAGATAGAATCTGAATCAGAAAGAGCTTTATTGTTTACACATACGAGGAATTTGTTTTGGTGACAGGAGCTTCCACAGCCCAAACAGAACAAGACAAGACACAGATAATAAAAAGAATAAAAATAGGATAGGTAAATATTATATTATAGGTAAAAATATTACAAAAATACACAATATGCAAAATAGACAATAGCTGGTATTTGTGTGTACAGGTATGTTATGTACAAATGCAAGGACATGTAAATAAGAAGTATGTGTGTTAAATAAATGTATAAATAGTGTTGTGTATTACACGTTTATTGCTAAGTTAGTTGTTCATGAGATGGATTGCCTGAGGGAAGAACAGTTTGATACTTTTTTTATACTAGAACTATATCAGCAGCTCTAGATAGATAGATTCTAGACGAATATAAATAAGTTATATAAATATAACTTGTTTATATTTTATATTATGTTCTAGGTCTAGGTATATGATTGATGATATGATTTTTATTATATATACATTTAAAGTTTGGGGTCAGTAAGATATTTTTCAGCATAGTTTCATTAAATTGATCAGCAGTTATTTTCAATTGTACTGATATTTCACTATATTACTGTTTTTACTGTATTTTGATCAAATAATTGCAGCCTTGGTGAGCAAGAGACTTTTTTCAAAAACATTTTTAAAAATCTTACCGACCCCAAGCTTTGAACAGTATATATACGTGCGCATGTTTGTATTTATAAAATATTCCCTCATAAAAGTAAAAAATGCGCTTGAAGTTCAACATCAGGGGACAAATATTTCCTCTTCATACGTTAATTCTGACACTGTATTTGCATATATATATATATATATAAATATAGTGTTTTTTACTCATGCAGTGTATTTTTACTGTCAACATCACTTCATATTTATGACATCATAATATTTCTGCTTCATACACACACATACACAAACTCACACTTGAGCTCACACAGTGACAGGAATATGAGGGGATAGCAAGCTGGCAGATGCTCTAAATAAACACATTGTGTGAAATAGCATGTGTTGCGTGACAATGAGTGGTTTTTAGATATCGGATCAGTTCTTGATAACATACAATATGTCTCCTGTTTTGATGGTGAAGTGTGTAACTTTTTTGATACTTAAAAAAACTTTCTACTCTTCCAACTTAGTTTGTAGAGACAAGACAACTCTAAATCAGTCATTCGTAGATTTTTCTTTCTGAGGAGTAGTTCTCAAACATATGCTCTTGTTTGCATAACCTTGCATAGTGATTTATATTTTAACCAGCTGCGTGTTTTTGGTGAACTGCCTGTTTGGGACAGAACAAGGATAGACTGGCTCTGGCCCACTGGTTGAGAACCACTGATGTACAAACACCTATGAGAAATTTCTAGACTAAAGAGTCTAAACGTCATTGTTAACCTTTTTGAATAATTATTATTTTTGCAATGACATTTAGTGCCATAAGGCACAGAAATTAAACCATTCTGACTGTCTGAAAGATAATTTTTATAATTATGTTTGACACATTTTAATTGGAAGTTGTCTGTTAATTTAATTTGGAAAAGTTTATTAAAGAAAATTCATAAAATCTGAAGTCATGTACATTTCTGTATTAAATTTAAATAAATGTGGATTTGGCTTTTTTTTTTTGCTTTTTTTTTTTTTTTTTT